ATTTCATATTGTTTTACAACACATGGTTTTAGCCCTCTGGTGGGAAAGACTTTAAAACAAAACTTACAACAGTTACTTTTCTCAACAACTGAAATTTAGAATAGTGTGATTAAGAAAAATATGCGAACTGCTTTCAATTTCAAATTAATATTGAAATGCACAAGTTTAGAATTTTCTACAATGAAAAGTTTTCGGAACTTCAGTGTTCAAAAAAGTATACAAAAGCTAGACGTTAAGAACGTATCCAATGAGCGAGCAAAGCGAGCATCGGATTGCGAAGCAATCCTAAATGAATTGCGAAAGCAGTTTCGGGGGTTGGCGAGCGCCAGAGAGCAGGGGCGAAGTCTCCTAGTTATTTTTGAATTATGCTCAATTAATTTCAATACATGCTAAACTATGCCTGATTTTATTTTCAATTAAAATGTAAATAATGAAGCAATTTTATCCAGTCGCTTTAATGCATTTAAAAAGACGTAGTTAATTTACAAGCACAAAAGTATAAAATACGACCTCCAGCAGGCAGTAGACAGGAAGTGGGGGGTGAGGCCTGCTCACCCTTCTTGGTGACACCCTCCCCAATGGCTCTCACAGAGATTTTGTAGTCCCGTTCAGGACGCAATCCTCTGAGTGTTATCTTTTGTACTTGACACACATCGTTCACTTTCACAGACACCTCACGATAACCTAGATACTGAAATTAAATTCACATTCATTAATACTTTTATATCATGGAGGAAAAAAAATACTTATAGTCCCTGGCTCAATTATTGAACGCACTCTAATTGGACGCATTCTAATTGGACGCACTTCCATGTAAAATCTTAATTATCAGGTGATACTTATACAGCTTTAATGTTCGATATCTTCAATCACGGTTCCGTAAAACGCTCCTAATAAAATCCCATTCAAACGAAAAATTTTATTTACTATGAACGGAATCTATTTTATCCCTGCATTAAATATATAGTGAATAAAATTGTATTAAACTGTTTGACACTGTTAGATGCATTGTATTTTGGTTTATTTCGCTTTAAGTAGTGTCCTTTTATTTCTTTGTGTCAATTTATTGTTCATAACAATATGGACTAAGTGATCCCAAGCAACCGAAATATTTTTTTTGTTTGTTTCTCTTTTTTTTCTTCTTTATAACCGTCGTTGAGCAGTCGACCCAATGTTGGGTTTACGACTACTAATGCTCAACTCCGTAGCCTTGTAATTTTAAACTCAATTCAGAAGACAAGGGTACTACTGGTTTTTGATGACACAAACTTGCATTTGCGTTACATGGAGACGAAAACATCCCACGGTGCATCACATGATCCATCTACCACAGAGGATATTCACTTCAGCACTGCGATTGATGGGAACCGGGTATGGAATTCGTATCGACCAGCTATCGTTGGGATTTGAACCCGGTTTATCTTATTGAAAGGCGAACGCTCTATCCCCTGAGCCACCACGGCCAAATTAATATAATGTTTCTATTAAAAGAAAAGGATGCGCCCATTGATTCACAAAAGTTATAGTCTGAGCCGTGATGGCTGGGGAGATAGAGCGTATGCCTTCCAATGGGGTGAACCGGGTTCGAATCCCAGCGATCTCAGGTCGATAAGACCTCCTCATCCGGCTTGCACCGACCACAGTGCTGACGCGAAATATCCTCAGTGGTAAACGGATCATGAGTTAAAGTCCCCTCGCAGTCAGGCTAACCGTGAGAGGTCATCGTGATTTTCCTTTCCATGTAACGCAAAAGAGAGTAAGTTCCGTCAAAAAAGTCCGCCACGAAGGCGAATTTTTGCCAATATTTGATCTAGGAATTCCCTTGTCTTCTGGATTAGGTTCAAAATGACAAGGCTGAGGAGTTGAGCATTAGTAGTAGTCGTAAACCCAAAAAATTGGGTCGTCTGTTCAGCGACGGTTATTTATACATAAAGAAAGTTATAGCCTGTGTAACTTCTCCGGCTGATATGGAAACAAGAGAGAGTTCATTTTAGAAAAGGGGATCAACCCTACCTGTACATGAAATGGGTAAACCATAGTCACCGAAAGTGCTCTAAGCAAATGGCGAGGAGAATTTTCTAGTTAGACTATATCACAGGATATCGTCCTCAAATGAGCCATCCCAAGTCAAAATTTTTGATGGAATAACATTATCTTGATGGTAACTATCAGTAATTCCAGCATGAACCATCATCTTTTTTGATGGTACCCAACATACGTGGCCATCACTTCAATTTTAGAATTTGGACTGATGTTTGATGCTTCAACATAAGAATGGCAACTTGTTTTGATGGTTTGTTCTTTTTGAACCATTACGAATTTCTATCATAGTATCTTGGAAATCAAATATTGAAACGATCATGAACAACCATCATCTCAAAGTTGGAATTTGGTCTCATTTATGATGGTTCAACATAAAAGAAAGCCAAATTGTTTTGATGGTACATTCCTGCTGAACCAACAAGAATTCCCATTAAACATCCATGGAAACGTATAGTTGTACCATTATGGACCATCACGAATTTCCATCATAGTATCTTGGAAATCAAATATTGAAACGATCATGAACTACCATCATCCCAAAGTTGCAATTCGGTCTGATTTATGATGGTTCAGCATAAAAAAAACCAAAACTGTTTTGATGGTATGTTCCTTAGAACCAAAAAGAATTCCCATTTAACCATGATGGAAATGTATAGTTGGAACTATCATGGACCATCGCAGATCAACATGGATTGTTGGTCCACGATAATCAAACTTGTCTTGACGCCTAGCCATCATACTATTAAAGTAGCATTTTCCATAAGGGAATGATGGAAGTTTGTTGGCATATCAAAAACCATGAATACATAATTGAAAATGTTGCATGATGGTGACCATCATTGAAACTAACATGAACCATCAAAATCTTTTGATGAGACCATCAAGAATTTTAACTTGGGATGTTATGCATGTTTGATAAATAATGAAATGTAGCTTTTCAAAAAAAATAATAGCAACATTACGAAGAAATTGAAAATAAAATAGGGAATAATAATAAAATTATTTTACCTCGCTCCCATACTCAACGAAATAATGAGTAATTTTAGAATTAGGATTAGCAGGTAGACTCCAGCTCACATCAGCCTCCGTACTTTTTTCTTCGCAGTTCGCTCGAACATTTGTTGGGGGACCGGGAGCTAAAACAAGATCTAGTGAGCTACTCTATAGTTTGTGTACAATAGTTTGCATTTAAATAAATTTTTATACTATAGTATTTGTATACAATACAGTTTGTGTACAATATAATTTGTAGTTTAATTTAAACCCCTACAAAATCGTACGCCTAAGATTCTCATCAGATTGTAATAATAGTTTGTCTACGGTTAGAACTCCCCTCGTCCACAGAGTCTGAGGCCCACAGAAGCTTCATAAAAGTGAATGCTCGCAAAAGAAACATGAGGGAGGGAGAGAATATGCTTCTGTGTCCCAGTGAATATCCTCGGGGCACGATGCAAGCAAGGCAATTCAGCAGCTACTGCTTCAAATATTATCTGTTATCTCAGGCAAACATTTTTTGCCCGTGCACCCTACCCTTCTAAGAAATTCGGAAGCGTTTAACTGCAACATCACTACTTCCAGGACTTGAAAACGCTAAGATTTAAAGCTATACTTTGCTTTATTATTATAAAGTTTGTTCGAAAAGTCATTAATTTTACCGAGAAACAAATATGAGTCTAGTTGGTAGAGGTTGACAAAAGGGCTGCTATTCCTCAATTTGTCTCGTGACTCATAAGTGCTAAGGCGAATAACATTTGATAACTTCAGGTGAGTTGTCAACCGTTATCCTTGCCTGTCAAACCTATCTCTAGTCAAGTCTCTCAATGTTTATTCTGAGAATGGCGTTCTTAAGAAGAAAAGCCATAGTTTTGAGAAAATTAAAAGCATTTGCGGTTTAACTTTTTAATACTTAAAAACTTGCAATAGTGCTGCATCATCTGACATGGTGCGTAGCGTTTTTAAAAAGGTGCTTTTAAAAAGTGCTTCATTTTCCCTTTTCGAGAATGAGATTTTTTTTCTTTACCATGTCGATTTTCGTTGCGTATTGCGCAAAAGCCTGGTTTTCACATTGTTTTATTCAACGTTTTCACAATTCATTCAACCACAATCCATTTCGGCGTATCGTCGGTCTGTAACGTATGATCATGTTACATGTTTGATGAAATGCATGGGAATGACTAACGAGCTGGGTTCGGAGAGATTCTTGCACTTTCTTGTGCAACTCTGCCGCATGTTGCAAGATATTCTCAATGTCAGGCTTCATTTTCCACCCACTGATATCGAACCGATTGATTAAGTAATTCTTTACGCATTAGCCTAGAGATGTGTAAGCTCCTCGCAATAAGCCAGAAAATGTCAAGGAGATCATAAAATAGTGAATAATTTTCGAAATAGCCCGGTGCTTTACATATTACAGACGACATTTGCAACGAGACAGATTTCTTAATAAGCCTACTTTTATAACAAAACTGTTGAAACAATCACCTTCGGCAGGCGTGTGTATTGGTTCACTGTCGTTACTCTTTGTTTCACCTGCTTCTGTTTTCAGCTGAACCGAAACAGAGTATCGAGAGTAGGCAGTCAGACCATATACTTGCACTTCAGTTGGCTGATTCCATTCCTTCCGACTCTTGCTGCCCCGTAGAATATCGTGGATGCGTCCACCACCCTCACATTGACCGGCAAACTTCCACACATATACTGCATAAGTAGTTGGTCCAGGATAAGGTGCGACAACTCGCCACTCAGCAAGATAATCCGTGGAATTTTCAACTTTTAGAAACGTGACCGTTGCTTCTGGTGGAACTGTAGGTAAAAAAAATTATTGAAAATTACAGACTGATTTGAAAACTCATTCAAAGAGGAACGGAGCGAAATATAATTGCTCCTTTTATTCTATTGATTTTCAAAGTAATTTACGAAATCCATCAACAGATGGCGCTGCAACTAGGAATTTATGTAACGATATATTCTACTCTATGTTGGACATTTCTAACAAAAGTATTTTCAAAACAGGTCTTCGAATTGCGTGAATTTATGGCAGCAAAAGGTGGTTATTTAGAAAACATTGTTTTAGGATTTTTAATGTTAGAAAGCGCCATCTGTTAACGATCTTCATAACTAATTTTGAAACTTGCTAATAATAATATTCTAAATAAGAATACACATATATTTCCTTCTCTTGTAAAACTTATTCAAAGAAAAACGGAGCGAGACATAAATGCTCATTTGGCTCCTTTTATTCTATTGATTTTCAAAGTTAGTTACGAAATCCATCAACAGATGGCGCTGCTACTAGGAATCTATAAAACGATGTTTTCTATTCCATGTTTGACATTTCTAACAAAAGTATTTTCAAAACAGTCTATTAATGTTGTCTTCGAAGTGTGTTAATCTATGACTGCAAAAGGTGGTTATTTAGAAGACATTGTTTTATGATTTTAAATGTTAGAAAGGTCCCGCAGTGGACTGATCGTTAAGACACGGTTCCCAGCAGATCACCGAAGTCAAGCATCACTGGCTGCTGTCAGTGTGCGGGTGGGTGACCACTTGGATCAGCCTGCGTAGGGACCGAGGGTGTGCGGTATTGGTCCTCGTTAAACTGTTCTACCGTAAAGTGCTCGACTTCGCGTGCAGGTCGTCGGGCTACCGAAGCGGGGGTGCCATCCCCTCCGCAGAGAATCAAAATTGTGATGGCATGTCTTCGGATCATCCTCAGGGATGTTTCCCAGACCGCCGCCAATAGCCCATTGTGCAGCTCTAGTGCGACGTAAATGAACAACAACAACAACAAATGTTAGAAAGCGCCATCTTCTAACAATCTCCATAACTAATTTTGAAACTTGCTAAGAATAACATTCTAAATCAGAATACACATATATTTCTTTCTCTTGTGAAATCATCGTTCACTTTCGGGACAAATAATGTGTCTATTTTGAATTCAAGCAGGCCAGAAAGCGTTTCAAGAAATTGTTTTAATGTTTGGCTTAATGCAGTGTTTCCCAAAGTGTGCTACGTGTACCCCCAGGGGTACGGGAACAGTTTAGTGGGGGTACGCGTTCCTAAGCGAAATATCTTGCAACAAACGAGAATTTCAAACTTTTTTATTTAAAAACAAAATTAGCCATGAAAATTGCGATTACGTATTTTTCTATTGGATATTTTTCTGCAGAGTTAACAAATAATAATTAGTGGTGTCAACAGCCAGCTGTGATTTTTAACTTTTGTGCAATTTTTTTGTAGTAAAAAATAATTTTTTTTTATTAGTGGTACACAGCTTTACGAAAAATTCAGAAAGGGTACACAGAAGTCATAAGTTTGGGAAACACTGGCTTAATGAAATCCGCGTATAAGTCGCCAGGTGTTGCGAATATTACATTTCGCTCTAATTTCTTCAACCACTGTTATTAAGAACATTATTATTATGTTGCTGGAACCGTCTACGAAATTTTATTTCTTGTTGAAATTGACATAAATTCGAACACGGTCTATATTTTATACCCAGCAAAAGTATTAGTAAATAATCACTTTCGGCTTATTCAGATCAAATTACTTATTATAGAACCAATAGGGCCATTCACGGTAGCTATTGGTTCTGTTAACATATTCGAGATCATTTATAGCTCTAAATTTATATAACGAAATTATCAGGTTTAGTCTGTTATCATGTTCTATTGGCGTGCTTCGCAATCCCACAGAATGTTTCAGACCGGGTGGAGTTGCTGTTCGCCAAAATGCACTTAATCCTAGATTCCTAGTGATACAAGATGAAGATAATAACTAATCTCATTCCATTCAATGCAATATCGATCCATGCGAACGTGTTCCGAAGTGGACTGATTGTAAAGATACGGTTCCCAGTAGAACACCGAAGTTAAGCATCACTGGCTACTGACAGTAAGCTTGTAGGTGACCACTTTGATCAGCCTGTGTAGGGACGAAGGGTGAGCAGTATCGGTCCTCGTTAAACTGTTCTACCGTTAAGTGCTCGACATCGCTGGCAGGTCGTCGGGCTACCAAAGTTGGGGAGATATTTTCTCTGCCCAGGATTTGAAATTGCGATGGCATGTCATCGGACCATCCTCAGGGTTGTATCGCCAATAGCCCATTGTGCAGCTCTAGTGCGAGGTCAATAAAGTACCAACCTCGTATGAACGGGTCACTTTTTCCGGATATTATGGTTTACTTTGAAACAAGTAATATAAAACAAAATGTTGTTAAAGTCAAGTCCTACTTAGGCCAAAAATTAAAAATTTTATTTTGGTTAATTTTTCTCCCATATGAAACTAAAATTAATTAATCAAATTTAATGAATGAATTAATATTTGAAACAAACTGCATCCACTACAAGTTTAAAAAAAAATTTAATTGAACTTTACAAACAAGATATAGGGAGAGAGAGTTAATTAATAGTAGAGATTGAAAAACAGTTGAAACACTCTCACCTGCAATTCCAGTTCTTGTCGTAAACGTGACTGATGGTTCACCCCACCCCTCCACCGTGCTGGCACTCACTTGAAAATTGTAGTTCGTGTAAGGGAGGAGTGGGAAAAACTCAAAAGTGGTGTCATTAGTAAAGACTGTTTGCAGGCGATTGTCATCAACCGCATTCCACTGTACTTTGTAGAAATCGAGGGGACCATTCATGGGCTGGGGTTGGAGCCACGTCAAACGGAGGTACGTTGCATTTTTGCTTGCATCAGACACACTCCTTGGAATGCTGGGAACTAAAATTGAAAACGTATTTTAACAAACAGCTTTCATTGATTTCTGATTGGACTCGGTTCAAATAATCTTTTCACGGATTTAATGGATGCATCGTATAAAGTTTTACATGAGTGGAACCGGCAGTTAAAATGCGCCCCAAATTTAATTGTACACCTAATCTTAGCAGACAATATTGTACTTATATTGTTTACAGGATTTCAATTTGTAGGAATTCATTTACCATTAAATTTATGAAACTTCAGCTGAAAATAAGATAGCACTCCATAAACTTTCCTTAAATTGTGATATTATTTTCGAAAAATCTCCTTCTGGAATTTATAAAAATCTATTGAATTGTAAAAAGAAAGTACAAATTTAAGTACAATAAAAGAAATGCAATAAAAACAATTCAACAAAAAAGTTGTGATCGCCTTTTTATGATCACTGGTTACTCAATGGTCAAATGCTTTTTCTTTCTGGATTGGTTAAAGTCCACAACATTTAAAATCATGGGTTGCATAAAACTGTCTCCATTGATGTTTGTCGTCGGATTGGACTGCCTATGTACGTGTTTCAAGACCTCACAAAATACTTTTCCATCTTCATATTTATTTTGAAATCACCGTCGAGCCAGTCATAATATGTTCATAATCAAAAGAATATAAAAATACTTTAAATTATTAGGGTAGACTATACTTGAGGGTGCCCCCGCCAAGTTGTGATCGCGATTGATCGCCAAGCTAGGCGATGTTGAAAACCAATCGTGATTCTGATTGGTTTAGATTTTAATAGTGATTCTGACTAGTTTAGAATTTAGCGTTGTTTTTAAATGAATTTTTAAATGTAATTTCAAAGATCCGTTAGTTCTACTTTGGATACCGGCTGGTAAGGTTATTTTTGCTTCTGGTACTAAAATTGAATACTGTCAATAAGATAAATCTTAAGTTTCTGTACGATTTTTATAACAATGAAAAAAAACAATGATTGACTTGTGTATGAATGAAGGTTTAATTAGTAATAGATATAAATGTCCTGTTTGTGGGTTACCACGGCGTTACGGGCAAACAAGTATGGCGCCAAGCATAAATTGCCAATTTCGCCAAGGGGCACCCTCAAGTATATTTTTCCCAATTATTATTATGTAAGAACATTAAAAATGCCTGGTAGTGAAAATAAAAGTAAAAACAGCGGTCGCCACAGCAACGCATGCACACACTGTTTACTGTGACTCTTGAACAGAGTTGAAAAGTGTGTAGACGCCATCACCCATTTTGTCAATCTATACATCTATACATAATAATAAACGCGGCTGTGTGTGCGTCTGTCTGTAATCACAATATATCTCCCCAGAAGCCGCGCCCAGGCACGAAACTCGGCACATAATTGTGTTTTGACATAATGAAGAAGTATTTTTTTTCTTTTTCAAAAATTTGGATTAGTTATTTAGTTATCAGTCATTTTGTAAGTCTATGCTTTTCGTCTGCTTTTTCGTCTTCAAAGAGCCATATTCAAAAAACTATTAAAAAATGCATATACTTTTCCCCACTCTTATAAATGTATGCTAATGCGAACCTTACAATTGAAATATTAATTTTCGACAACTTAAACCAATAATATACGAAGGAATTAATAATTTAATTGTAAAGTTCGCATTAGTTTACATTTATTAAAGTGGAGAAAAGTTTAACTTTTGTATTAAAAATGTGGCAACATATTCGATACGTAAATAGAACGCTTCGCTTTGATATATTTGTCGCTGTTCATAATTGTTATAATAAGTTTTTCTTCTTCTTTCCACGCTCTATTTTTTTTTTCTTAAGCGAAGACGATAATTTTTATAGCGATATTGTAGTACTTTGTACAACTAAAAATTCTTTTCACAACACTTTAAAAATATTTACTTTATTTTCTTTATATATACAGAGAACAGTCGGCAAAGAATTCGATTAGGTTGAAAAACATTTCGCTAAAAAGGAACGAATTCCAAAAGAAAAAATAAACAACTTAAAGAATAAAAATGCTGATGCCAGCCAATTTTTTGAAAGTTAACTTAGAAATAACAAACCAAACGATGTTAAATAACAAACCAAACGATGTTAACAAAATGACGTAGAAAGCGCAACTAGATCAAAATTATACAAGCACAACTAGATCAAATTATAATACCTGAGTGCTTGACGTAACAGATATAGAAATAGAATTTGATACCATAAAAAATTATATAGAAATAGAAATTGATACCATAAAAAATTTATTCGTTTTCGTGTTCTTTTCATGTATTTAGCATTTTAGTTTTTTTTTTCTTAAGCGTTGTAGCTATATAATTTCAAACATCCTCAAGAGCTATAACACATCTGCAGCAGAACTGGATATGAAGACAAAATTGCAGGACAGGAACACTTTAATTGTCCACTAATCTTCAGATTTCCTGCTATGTTTTAAAAAACTTTATTTGTGAAAACCTTTAGCGTGGCGGACAACTGGCCGCCTTAAGCGGCTAGTGGGTAATAAAGCTTCCTAGAATATCGCCTCTTGCGCATAGCATAAACGATACACCGGAACCATTTGATGTTTTTTGTCGCTTACGTTGATTTTTCTATAGAACTGCCGACTACTTCCGACAATTTTTGCAAATTTAATTAAAAAAATGTTATGCTTCGCATGCTTGTTCAGCACGGACGGTAAAATCCTAGAATATCCCAACCCTCGACGACTTTTTGAAATATCGCCAAATTGGCGATTACTACTAGAATCAAAGTTGTATTTTTATTATTTAAGCAAAACAATCTCAATTATTACAAATTTATTAAAATATTTTTAATGAAATAAAATAAAAAAACAGCTTGCAATAAGGTGACAATACATATCCCCGAAATATCTTCCAGAAAGTTCGTCGAGATTTCAAAAAGTTGCTTTTTGAGATTTAAGAAAAAAAAACGCCACGGGTATCCACCAGCACGGTATTTAAAAAACGTGTTGCCAACCAGAAGGGTATCAAAGAAACTTACTTCCGATTTTCGTTCTCACTCTTAGGACATCTGAAAATTTTCCATAACCGGCTTCAGTCTTTGCTCTTACAGCAATATAGTAATCGGTGTATGGATTGAGACCATCAATCACGTACTCAAGTTCATTGGTGGTATCATTATGTGACCCCCATTGGACGGTATAGAATAAAATGGGTCCTCTGTTGGGCTGAGGAGCTTCCCATATTACTTCAATGGTGTGATTCGTCACGTGACTCTTAACCAGTCTCTCTGGAGCGGAAGGAACTGAAAGAATCAATATTACAGTTTATTCTTTTTGAATGGAGTTTATTATTTGAAATTATACTAGTTTCTAATGGAACATGGCTAATGGAACATGAACAGATTTTCATGTTCCAATCGGAACCATAAGAGTTTACAACCGTCGTTGAACAGTCAACATAATTTTTGGGATTACGACAACTAATGTTCAACTCCGTAGCCTTGTAATTTTGAACCCAATCCAGAAGACAAGAGAGCTCCTGGATTAAGTATTGAGGAAACATTTGCCTTCGTGGAGGACTTTTTGTGGAAAATAACTCACATTTGCGTTACACGGAGACGGAGACCACGAAAATCTCCCACGGTTAGCCTGACTGCAAAGGGATTCTAATCCATAATCCATATACCACTAATGATATTTTTTTATGTCAGCACTGTGGTCAAGGGAAGCCGGATGCTGATTCGCATCGACCAGCCATCGATGAGATTCAAACCCGGTTCCACTTCATTGGAAGGCGAAGGCCATCGCGCTCGAACCATAACAGTTGAAATTTATAGGGACATCCCTCTGAAACAACATGTATGTTTTTTTATGTGCCCTGGGCGCAGAATGTGACCATGGATGTCAACGCCTTTTCTTAACAAGTAAACGAACACCTTCGTTCTTAGGATATTACCCGTACGGAATAAGTCAGCATACTCATCTGATTTGAATCTGATAGATTATGTATGGGGCATGCTTGGGCCACAAGTTGCAACCAGTCTATTACCTTCTACTTACCTATTGCAACTTCGCAGAGCATAGCGTCCTGTGTGGAGTAATCTTCTCGAAGATCAGCGTGAGAGTCGTGGTGGCTCAGGGGATAGAGCTTTCACCTCCCAATGAGGGGAACTGGGTCCGAATCCCAGTGATGACTGGTTGATTCAAATTCCGTATCCGGCTTGCAATGTCCGCAGTGCTGACGTAAAATATCCCCAGCAATAAACGGATCATGGGTTAGAGTCCCCTTGCCGTCTGGCTAACCGTGGGAGGTTCTCGTGTTCTTCCTTTCCATGTAACGCAAATGTTGGTTAGTTCTATAAAAAAAGTTCTCCACGAAGGTAAATTTCCCACAATACTCGATTCAGGAGTTCCCTTGTCTTCTGGATGGGGTTCAAAATGAAAAGGCCACGGAATTGAGCATTAGTAGTCGTAAAACCAAAAATTGGTTCGGCAGTTCAACGATGGTTATAAAATAAGACCAGCTAGATAATTTGATACTCAGATAATTTGATACTCATGCGAAACATACAATCTATTAAACACCGTACCAATTATGTAATATTAAGTTTTTGTAAAGGAGATATCTTTTATAATTACTCCAGAGAACAAACATCTTAGTCTTTATTAATGATATCACACATAGACCATATTTTTTTTTTCAAAAGAGTTTTATGAAATAGTCAAGATTGTTTCGGAATCTTTATTTACCGGAACTACAATCATCTTGTTTTTGGACATGAAATATAATAATGCATTTTTAAAATACATTAAAAATAAATTTTGTATTTTATATTATAACCATCATTGAACAGCCGACCCAATTTTGGGTCTACTACTGCAAATATTCAACTCCGCAGCCTTGTAACTTTGAACCAACCCAGAAGACAAGGAAACTTCTTTATTAGTACCCAAAGAGGTAAGAATATTTATGGGAACATGGATTTTGTGACTCTGCAGATTTAAGTCTCCATTTACTTTATGGGAAGCCTTCGGACAGCGGGAATCGAACCCACGACCTCCTGGACATGGGTCCGGTGCCCTAACAACCTGGCTATCCCGACCCCTCAAAAATGAATTGAAATATTAGTTGGATTTCTTACTTCCTACAGATGTTTGTATCGTGGCAGGTTCAGACCACTTTCCTGGACTGGCCTTCGTTTCCGCCTGCACCTCAATGGTGTAGTTAGTAAATGGAATCAAGTCCTTTATTAAATAGAATGTTTCTTTTGTCTCATGCAGATTACTTCTGGTGTTGTTAGTCCAGCGGATTCTGTACAGCGTGATTGGGCCAACATCGGGCTTAGGAATGTCCCACTCTATTTCTATGCTTGTATTCTTCACATCCTTTCCTCGAACATTCTGTGGAGCTGATGGGACTGGAAAATAAATATTATAAGCAACATTCTCAGAATACATTTCTATGGTTGTATCTTTCGCGTAATTTTCTACTAATATACATGGGAGTGATTATAGATAATATATTTTGTTTTTCCAGCGATTGTCTGCGGGATAATTATCATTCAGATAGGTCTTTATCAAACAAAATAAACAAATAAATTTTACTTTTTGCGTATTTCGCCAAGTCTCGAGAATTTTTTAAACGAACTGAAAACTTTTTGCACTTATTTATAAAATTTGTTTGTCCCAAGATGAAGTGAAAAAAATGAATTTAAAAAATTATTTTTATTATTTCATTGAATAACAGTTGAAAAATGTTTAAATTGTAAGGTATAAATTTGTTTGTATATGTAATTGTCTCTGTAATCTTACATGGCAAAATGCAAAATTTAAGAGAAATTGGTTGAATAGTAGTGGAGAATTTTAGCGATTTTTTAAAATTTGATTTCTTAAAAACTATTCTATCGATATCTCTCAAATTTTGCATTTCACCATGAAAATACTTTATATGCATACTTTAAGAAGATATAAAAAAATATACCCAAAAATTCAAAATTTGTTCGACCTTTATAAAATTAATAATTAAAAATAATAAATATTCACTAACATTTATTTTTTTAAGGGGACTTATCTTAGGACAAACAACTTTTATAATTATGTGAAAAATTTTTTCGATTCATTTAAAAAGTTCTCTAGATACGACAAAACACGCAAAAAATAATATTTGACTAAGAAAAGTGTTTTAACTAAGAAAAACTCTCAAATTTTTTCTACTTAGAAATATCTTCAAGCTGATTGCACATAGAAAAGTTTTTAGTTCGAATCACTGAAATTTGAGAATTTTCAAACTGTTTTTACTTCTAGAACTTCTGATGTTATTGTTACTTATAAATTTCTGAAGTTCTTTTTAATTACATTTTGCTTTTGACTTAGAAAAACTTTCGGATTTTTTGTACTAAAAATATTCAGAAATTGCTTGAAAATAGGAAATTTTTTAAGTTGGAATCCCAGAACGTAGAATATTTTTAGACTGCTTGTACTTAGAAAATTTCAGATGTTATTGGTATTTAGAAAATTTCTGAAGTTTTTTAATTTTCAAATTGCTTTCACTTAAAAAAAAAAAAGCATTCACATTTTTCGTGCTTGGAAATATTCTGAAGTTGTTAGAACATGGAAAATTTTATTCGAATTGCAGAACTTTGAAAAGGTTCAAACTGTTTCCTTCAGAAAATTTCTGAAGGTTTCGATACTTAGAAAATCCTGGAAGTTTCGGTACTTTGAAAGTTTTTAAAATTTTCGGAAAATATTCTGAAGTTGCTTGAATATAGAAAATTTTATTCGAATTGCAGAACTTTGAAAATTTTCAAACTGTTAGCAATTTGAAAAATTTTAAAGTCTTTTTAAGCAACTTTCAAATAGTTTCGACTTAGAAAATCTTTCAAATGTTTTGTACTTAGAATTATTCTGAAGTTTTTTGAACATATAAAATATTTTTATTGGAATTGCAGAACTTTGAAAATTTTTAAACTGTTTGCACTCAGAAAATTTCTGAAGGTTTCGGTACTTAGAAAATTTCTGTTCATATTCGCACTTGTAAAATTTCTGTGGAAGATGTTTAAATAACTTTCAAATTGTTTTGACTTAGAAAAACTTTCACAGTTTTTGTACTTTGAAATAATCTGTACAAACAATTATTTAAACAAAAAAAAGGTATCGGAATCTAAAGAATCTGCACTGATTACTTAAGGATGAACAGAACATCTATACTGACAGAAAATTTTAGGTGAGTTTCTTGTAATGGTCTTTAAGCAACCATCTGTTCATGTGGAATTGAACAGATAATACATGCATCCATCGTCCTCAGTCCACACACACGCACACACACATATATATTCTGCTCAATCAGTATTACAGCCTATTTACCTCCAATGCCTTCCCATTTTTTTTTCTCCGACGCAAAATTTTGCCTGGCTATTTGTCATCAATTATCTTTATTTATTTTGAGGACATGAAATTTAATAATGCATTTTTAAAATATACATAAAAAATGAATTGAAAATTTGTTGGATTTCTTACTTCCTACAGATGTTTGTATCGAGGCTGGTTCAGACCACTTTCCAGGACTGGCCTCTGTTTCCGCCTGCACCTCAATGGTGTAGCTAGTGAATGGAATTAAGTCCTTTATTAAATAGAATGTTTCTTTTGTCTCATGCAGATTACTTCTGGTGGTGTTAGTCCAGCGGATTCTGTACAGAGTGATGGGGCCAACATCGGGTTTAGGAATGTCCCACTCTATTTCTATGCTTGTATTCTTCACATCCTTTCCTCGAACATTCTTTGGAGCTGATGGGACTGAAAAATAAATATTATAAACAACGTTATTTCCCACTCATTTCTATGGTTGTATTTTTCACGTAATTTTTAATGAATGTACACAGGAGTGATTATAGATTATATATTTTGTTTTTCAAATAAACTTAAACTTTCATATTTTTTTACTTAGACATATCCTGAAGTTGCTTCACAGAAGCTTTTTTAGTTGGAATTGCAGAACTTTGAAAATATTCGAACTGTTTTTTGTTAGAAAATTTCTTATGTTATTGGTACTCAGAAAATTTCTGAAGTTGTTTGTAATTTTCAGGGGTTCACACTTTCGACCTCTTTCTTACCAAACAAAGGGGACACTATATTCCTGATTGTGGCTATCCCCTACGTATTCGAGATCAGAAGTCCAGAAATATCGGAAAAAAAGGTATGTTCATTTAGAGAAATTGCGTTTTCGATTTCGTATTTTAAAAAATATCGTCAACACTAATTAATTAGCCTATTTGAGGTCACCCCCTTGAGTCATTAAAAGTGCGTCATAGATCTTGAAGATCCGATCATTAGATCAAAAGTTATTCATTGTGGTCAGTGAAAACAATTATTTAAATTTTAAAAAAAAAGGTATTGGAATCTAAAGAATCAATGCTGATTACTAAGGGTGTACAGAACATCAAAACTGACAGAAATTTGTAGGTTTTTCTAGTAATAGTCTTCATGCCAGCCATTCATTGAACAACAGATGATACGTGCATCCATCTTCCTCAGAGATATCAATTTCTTTCTTTTTTTATATATATTCTTCTTAATCATCATTGCAGCCCCAAATGCTTTCTCAATTTACTTTCTCCAATATAAAATTTCAGCTAGCTATTTTGCCGGAAATTATCCTCAATTTATGGACATGAAATATAATAATTTCAGGAAAGTTAAAGTAAACACACGATTCACTACAAAATGAAGAAAAATGTGATCGCCGCGAGGCTATCACTGGTTACATATTGGCAAAATGGTTGTTGTCCAATTTTTTTTCGGAAAAGAAACTTTATTGTGTTTTCATCTTGGACATCTGTTACTGTTAATCCTGAACTGCTCAGTACACAATTTCGAAGACATATTTGAATGCAGCTCAGACACATTCTGTGTCAATTCTTTTGATGACTGAACAGACACAGAACAGCCAATCGGGATCAATGTTAACATTTTCGGATTTGTAGTACAATGGTGTTTGATGGATGTTGTTGTTAATTTACGTCGCACTAGAGCTGCACAATAGGCTATTGGCGACGGTCAGGGAAACATCCCGGAGGATAATCCAAAGACATGCCATCACAATTTTGATCCTCTGCGGAGGGGAGGTGTTTGATGGAGGTTGTAAGCTGCATCATATACCCGTTTCGGATTCATACATGAAATATCATTTGAAAGCTAGGCTTTTTTTCAATTTTACATGAATAGTGAATGAATCACTTATATTGCGTGAAAGACAGTCTACGATCTTGTGCAAGTTATTGGGTACGTTGACAATGGATCCTTTTATCCCTAACTGGTGATCATTACCTAGTTCTCGTATTTGCCTGAAAGGAATTCGGAGAGCCACCATTCGCTCTTCGGTAGGGTTCAGTTCTCTCAACCACTTTGTACTTTTGGGAGGGACGGACTTCATGCTAGTGAACGGAATCCTTTCGTTTTTTCGTTTGTGAGTAACGCTTAAGGTATTTCGGTCAACGTTCTTTGGCTTTGGCTTTTTCAGCCTCGGTAATTTTAGGCCCTGGCATTGCTTTTTCCTTGCTTCAACTCTAACCTTTGGGACCGTGTCAATCAGTTTGGACCCTGCTATGTGTGATATTCACCTGAATTAGTAATGAAAACGATCCAGTTTGATCTGTAGGTTAGAGCTTCTGATTCTTAATTAAAACAATAAAATTAAAGAATCGTGCAAATGATGAAATTCTCTTTTATTCACAACTCAAGAAGTATTTATGGCATCTTTCTGGTCCCATATCTCAAAAATAAACTCACCAACATAATGCGTAACAAAATTAAAAGTGAAAAAGGAGAATTCTAAAAAAGTTACCAAACAGCAGCGGTTGCCATAGCGAAGCATGCTCACTGCTTACTAATACTCTTGATTATTGTAGTTGAAAAGTGTGAGGACGCCATCAGATCCAAAGCAAGACCCATTTTGCCAATGGGCAATAATGCATTTTAAAAATATACACCAAAAATAATTGAAATATTAGTTGGATTTCTTACTTCCTACAGATGTTTGTATCGTGGCAGGTTCAGACCACTTTCCTGGACTGGCCTTCGTTTCCGCCTGCACCTCAATGGTGTAGTTACTGAATGGAATCAAGTCCTTTATTAAATAGAATGTTTCTTTTGTCTCATGCAGATTACTTCTGGTGTTGTTAGTCCAGCGGATTCTGTACACCGTGATTGGGCCAACATCGGGTTTAGGGATGTCCCACTCTATTTCTATGCTTGTATTCTTCACATCCTTTCCTCGAACATTCTTTGGAGCTGATGGGACTGGAAAATAAATATTATGAGCAACATTCTCACAATACATTTCTATGGTTGTATTTTTCACGTAATTTTTAACGAATATACACAGGAGTGATTATAGATTATATATTTTATATAATCTATAATCACTCCTGTACTAATATACAGGGGAGTGAATATTTATAATATATTTTGTTTTTCAAATAATCGTTTGTGGGATAATAATCATTCAATTTATAAAACACAAACAGCTTACCTCCCTCACTTGTCCGTAACCTAAGTTGCTTCGACCACGGTCCATAACTAGCTATTGTTTTGGCCTGCACTTGGATGAAGTAATACTGATAAGGTTTCAATTTCTGAATGCGGAAAACTCTATCCTTCGTTTCTTGCTCACCATTTCTGCTGTTGCTCATGTCCATCCACCTCACTTTGTAGAGAACAATGGGGCCAGCACTGTCACCAGGACTGTCCCACGCTATACCGAGGCTCGTGTTAGTTGTAAGGTTTTCTCGAAGATTAATAGGAGATAGTGGAACTGGAAAATGACAAACATCTATTTTTAGGATTAGTTACAAAAAAAGGTTTCACCACTCGTAATACGAGGGTTGTAAATTAAATAGTGACAACTTAACCTTGAAACTTACAGAAGGGCGGGCATGCGCAAATAGGATATGGGAGAGGTGAGGTGGCGCTGTTGTCGATGTGTAGAGTGCAAAAAACAGTCGATTTGCTTAGAAGGGTAGTTGTTGCGTGGCGTTAAAGTGAGGAGTTTCGTTTCCATCGCTCTTAAGCATGTTGTCAAAAGGCTTAATGACGAAAAAAGAACAGATGCTTGAACCCATTGTGCTACTGTCCTATAGGGTAAAGCATTTGCGCCACAGGCTTCCACTAATCCACGATAGCATTCTGTTGCATTTTTGCCACGGACAACCTCGATTTTAAGCCACGACCGCTGATCACCTTTTGAAAACATGCTTTAGAGCGATGGAAACGAAACTCCTCACTTTAACGACACACAACAACTACCCTTCTAAGCAGATTGACTGTTTTTTGCACTCTACACATCGACAACAGCGCCACCTCACCGCTCTCATAGCCTATTCGCGCATGCCCGCCCTTCTGTAAGTTTCAAGGTTAAGTTGCCACTATTTAATTTACAACCCTAGTATATGAAAAACATAAATCTCGGAGAATAAAATTTTTAGTGAGACTTCCAAGCGATCACGAATTTTACTCCATATCCCAAGAAATGCACCGTCCTATATTGTTATTGTACTGCTTATAATATAACTTGTGCTATTTGCAATTGCGCACTTAATTTTAACTGAAAACTTTAACTAAAAACTGAAAACAAGAAATATAAAAATAAATTAAAGTCAATCCTACTTGGATCAAGGAAGAAAAATTTTAATTTAGTTACTTTATTACTGAATAATTAAAATTTTTTCTCCCATATAAAAATATAATTAATTAATAAAAATTTAATGAATGAATTAATCAAAAGTATTTTATTAGCTGTTAAAAATTTGAACACGATACAGGGTGAGTGTGAACTAATAGTGGGAATTGAGTAACACAGGGCAGCCCTTACATTGTGATGTTAATTTCCTTAAAACGATTTATGGCTCACTACCTTGTAGAATTTCCAAAATACAGAAAAACATCATGAATGAAAACAACACGCATATTTAAATACAAATCTGAATGAAACTGCCAAGCCTGTTCATCGTTTTTTAAGAACTAACATCAGAGGTTTTCAAAATTCAGTACCAGATTTAGAATCTTGTTATTGTTTACACTCATTTTTGAAATGTCTGTCAGAAAGAAAGAGAAAATTATGTACATCACAAAAAAATGGATAAGCCTGAATAACTTTTGATCTAATGATCGGATCTGTACGTTCTAGGACTCAATCTTAGTGGTTCGAGTGGGTGACCTTATATGTGCTAATATCCTCGTTTGTAGACGGATCATGGGTTAGAGTCCTCCTGCCGTCAGGCTAATCGTGGGTGGTCTTCTTTTCCATGTGAAACAAATGCAGGTTACTTCCATCAAAAAGTCCTCCACGAAGGCAAATTTCTCCCAATACTTGATTCATGATTTCCCTTGTCTTCTGGATTGAGTTCTTTAATTACAGGGCTACGGAGTTGAACATTAGTAGTCGTTAACTGAAACAATAGAGTTGGCTGTTCAACGACGGTTATAAAATAAAAATAAAAATATATCCTACCTCCGATGTCTGTTTGTATGACTACGGGTTCGGACCATGCCCCATAGCCAGCATTCGTTTTTGCCTGCACCGAGATGCTATAGTTTGTATAAGGATTTAATCCATCGATGAGATAGGCGGAAGCCTCAATTTCCTTTTCTGCCCAACTATTGTTCCTCATGTTCAACCATTTCAGTTTGTAGAGGCTGATGGATCCTACTACAGGATGTGGTTCATCCCACTCCATTTCGATGCTAGAGTTGGTCACGCCTTTCTCACGAAGATTCAGAGGAGAAGATGGAACTGTAAAGAAAATAATATCTTTGATGAAACTTTAAACTCCTAATGAAATATAGCCTTTTGAAAACGATTGCATACTGTCCGAACTGATTATCAAATGTAAGCGAAAATACACTGATGTGAGAAATAAAGAGAATTTGCAGACTGGGTCGATTATCCCTAGAACTATTGGACCTGTATCAAACATAGTTCTAATATATTTTTGGTATTTAATTGTCAAAAATACTTTTTTGAAATTTCCATGACGCTTTTTTTAGAACTATGTTTTATGTAGTTTTAAGTTCCATATACTTTCCTAACTTGAAAGATTTTGCTCCAATTGAAAATCAAGAGGGAAACTAACGTACTTCCTTCCTCTATGACTCTCCACACGATAATGGTGAAAACATACGAAGTGTTGCCACAAGTAGAGAGTTCTGCTCTACGTCACCTGTAGCCCATTTCAAACGCCAATCGTTATGAATTTTATTTCATTCCAAAACACTTTTTTGAAATTTCCAGACAAATTATTTTTTCTGCATTCATATCAGATCATTACAATCACTTACATTCTAATCATACAACCGTTAGAGCGTGTTCTAAATAACAGCATACATTCTCCTTTTCAGCAATCTATGGATGGTTTCATTTTATTTCATAACCGTCTTTGAACATCCGACCCAAATATTGGGTTTATGACTGCTGATGTTCAACTCCGTAGCCCTGTCATTTTGAACCCAATTCAGAAGACAAGGAAACTCCTGGATCAAGTATTGGATGAAATTCGAATGACTTTTTGATGAAACTAACCTGCATTTACGTTACATGGAGAGGAAGACCACGAGAGCCTACTACGGTTACCCTGATGGAAAGGGGACTCTAATCCATGATCCGTCTACCACTGAGGATATTTTATGTCAGCACTGTGGTCGGTGCAAGCCGGGTGCGGATTCGCGTCTACCTGCCATCACTGCACGTCTACCTGCCATTCGAACCCGTTTCACTTCGTTGGCAGGCGAACGCTCTATCCCACTCCATTTCGATGCTAGAGTTGGTCACGCCTTTCTCACGAAGATTCAGAGGAGAAGATGGAACTGTAAAGAAAATGATATCGTTGATGAAACTTTAAACTCCTAATGAAATATAGCCTTTTGAAAACGATTGCATGCAGTCAGAGTTGATTATCAAACGTAAACGAAAATACACTGACGTAAGAAATTAAGAGAATTTGCTGACTTGGTCGTTTATCTCTAGAACTACTGGACCTAGATTAAACATAGTTGCAAAACAAAGCGTCATAGAAATTTAAAATGAAAATAAAAATATTTGTAACAATTAAATATGAAAAGTATTAGGAGAAGGAAAAATATCGAATTACATTCCTATATTACTGAAAAGAGGAGGAGAGGGAAAGGGAAATGGACAAAGGCATGCAACCGGTTTTCTCCCCAGATGGCGCATTCGAGCTTTGCGATCGCCTATATTAATGCACAACTATTGGCGATCGCAACACTCGAATACGCCATCTGGGGAGAGACCGGTTTCATGTTTTTAGCCCTTCTCCCTTCCCTCTCCTCCTCTTTTCAGTTGTATAGGAATGTACTGCGCTATTTTCCCTTTTCTTAATATTTTTCCTTTTTATTTCATAAAAATATTTTTTAAAATTTCCGTGATAGTTTTCATTAGAACTATGTTTAATGTAGTTTTCAGCTCCATATAGTTCTCCAACTTAAAAGATTTTAATCTATATGAAAATCGAGAGAGAAACTAACGTACTTCCTTCCTCTATGACTTTCCACACGCTAATGGTGAAAGCATGTGAAGTGTTGCCATAGGAAAAGAGTTCTGCTCTACGCCACCTGCAGCCCATTTCGATCGCCAATAAATTTTCTTTCCTTTTTTTTTTTTTAAATATTTTTCGTTTTTAATAGCTAAAACTATTTTTTAACAAAATGTCCATGATGTTCTTTTAGAGCTATGTTTAATGCAGTTTTCAGTTCTATATAGTTTCTTAACTTAAAAGATTTTACTTTATTTGAAAATCAAGACAGAAACTAATGTACTTCCTTCTATGACTTTCCACACGCTAATGGTGAAAGCATTCGAAGTGTTGCCACAGGTAGAGAGTTCTGCTCTACGTCACCTGTAGCCCATTTCGATCGCCAAGTGTTATGAATTTTATTTCATTCCAAAACTGCTGCTGACACTTTTTTGAAATTTCAAGACAAATTTACTTTTTCTGCACTCATATCATATCATTACAATCACTTACATTTTAATCTTACAGTTGTTTGAGTGTGTTCTAAGTAACCGCATGCATTCTCCCTTTCAACAATCTGTGGATGGTTTCATTTCATTTCATAACCGTCTTTTAACAGCCGACCCAATTTTTGGGTTTATGACTACTAATGTTCAACTCCGTAGCCTTGTCATTTTGAACCCAATACAGAAGACAAGGAAACTCCTAATCAAGTATTGGGAGAAATTCGGAAGACATTTTGATGAAACTAACCCATGATGAAACTAGTTATAAACAGGGTTTTCCCTAAAGACCAATCTTAATATATGAAAAATATAAATCACGGTGGATAAAATTATTAATGAGACTTCCAAGCGATTACGATTTTTCACTCCATATCCTGAAAACCCGGCATCCTGTATTAATATCTTACTGCTTACAATATGTCCTGTGCTATTTGCCATTGCGCACTTAATTTTAACTGAAAGCTTTAACTAGAAACTGAAAACAAGTAATATAAGAAAAAATTAAAGTCAATACTACTTAGATCAAAAAAGAAAATTTTTAATTTAGTTACTTTTTATTCAATAATTACATTTTTTCTGCCATATAAAAATAAAATTAATTAATAAAAATTTAATGAATGAATTAATAAAAAGTAATTTATTAACGGTTAAAAATTTGAACACGATTCAGGGAAAGTGTGAACTAATAGTGGGAATTGAGTAACACAGGGCAGCCCTTACATTGTGATGTTAATTTCCTTAAAACGATTTATGGCTCACTACCTTGTAGAATTTCCAAAATACAGAAAAACATCATGAATGAAAACAACACGCATATTTAAATACAAATCTGAATGAAACTGCCAAGCCTGTTCATCGTTTTTTAAGAACTAACATAAGAGGTTTTCAAAATTCAGCACCGGATATAGAATCTTGTTATTGTTTACACTCATTTTTGAAATGTTCGTCAGAAAGAAAGAGAAAATGATGTACATCACAAAAAAAATGGATAAACCTACATAACTTTTGATTTAATGATCGGATCTGTACTTTCTAGAACTCAATCTGTATGGTTCGAGAGGGCGACCTAAAATATGCTAATATCTTCGTTTGTAGACAGATCATGGGTTAGAGTCCTCTTGCCGTCAGGCAAACCGTGGGAGCTCTTCCTCTCCATGTGAAGTAAATGGTGGTTACTTCCATCAAAACGTCCTCCACGAAGGTAATTTTCTCCCACTACTTGAGCCAGGAGCTGCTTGGTCTTCTGGATTGGGTTTTAAATTACTAGCCTACGGAGTTGAAGATTAGAAGTCGTAAACTCAAAAAAAATTGGGTTGGCTGTACAAAAATAAAATAAAAAATATATCCTACCTCCGATATCTGTTAGTATAACCACGGGTTTGGACCATGCCCCATAGCCAGCATTCGTTTTCGCCTGCACCGAGATGCTATAGTTTGTATAAGGATTTAATCCATCGATGAGAAAAGTGGAGGCCTCAGTTTCCTTTTCTGCCCAACTATTGTTCTTCATGTTCAACCATTTCAGTTTGTAGAGGCTGATGGATCCTACTACAGGATGCGGTTCATCCCACTCCATTTCGATGCTAGAGTTGGTCACGCCTTTCTCACGAAGATTCAGAGGGGCGGAGGGAACTGTAAAAAAAATGACATAACTTTGATAAAAGTTTAAACTCCTAATGGAATATAGCATTTTAAGAACGATTTCATGCTGTCCGAACTGATTATCAAATGTAAGCGAAAATACACTGATGTGAGAAATAAAGAAAATTTGCAGACTGGGTCGATTATCCCTAGAACTACAGGACTTATATCAAACATAGTTCTAAAAGAAAGCTCCGCGAAAATTTAAAAAAATATTTGTAACAATTAAATACGAAAAATATTAAGAAAAGGAAAAATATCGTAGTACATACAACTAAAAAGAGGAGGAGGGGGAAGGGAGAAAGGCATGAAACCGGCCTCCTCCCCAGATGGCATATTCGAGCGTGGCGATCGCCTGTAGGAATGAGCTACGACAAATTAATTGTCAAAAATATTTTTTTTAAAATTTTAATTGTCAAAAATATTTTTTTTTTTTTTTAAATTTCCTTGACGCTTTTTTTAGAACTATGTTTAATGTAGTTTTAAGTTCCACATATTTTCCTAACTTAAAAGTCTTTAACTTATTTGAAAATCAAGACAGAAACTAACGTACTTCCCTCTCCTATGACTCTCCACACGCTAATAAGGACAGCATGAGAAGTGTTGCCACAGGTAGAGAGTTCTGCTCTACGTCACCTGTAGCCCATTTCGATCGCCAAATGTTATGAATTTTATTTCATTCTAAAACACTTTTTTGAAATTTCAAGACAAATGAATTTTTATGCACTCATATCATATCATTACAATCACTTACATTTTAATCTTACAGTTGTTTGAGCGTGTTCTAAATAACAGTATGCATTCTCCTTTTCAGCAATCTATGGATGGTTTCATTTTATTTCATAACCGTCTTTGAACATCCGACCCAAATTTTGGGTTTATGACTGCTGATGTTCAAGTCCGTAGCCTTGTCATTTTGAACCCAATTCAGAAGACAAGGAAACTCCTGGATCAAGTATTGGATGAAATTCGAATGACTTTTTGATGAAACTAACCTGCATTTACGTTACATGGAGAGGAAGACCACGAGAGCCTACTACGGTTTCCCTGATGGAAAGGGGACTCTAACCCATGATCCATCTACCACTGAGGATATTTTACGTCAGCACTGTGGTCGGTGCAAGCCGGGTGCGGATTCGCGTCTACCTGCCATCACTGCGATTCGAAACCGTTTCACTTCGTTGGCAGGCGAACGCTCTATCCCCTGAACCATCACGGCTTTCTGTGGACAGTTGACCGTATAAAGCTAAGCACAGATGGCGATAGGGGGTTGAAATTCGTCGTAAGATTTCTGGGTTACTGCTTCCGATTGAATTTTACGCCTAAACATGAAAAAGTGCTTCATCCAATATTATTATACTTGTAGAGTTTACATTATAACGCGTTCTTTCAATTTAACTTTCAACGAAGCAAACTACAAATGAATTCGGAAGACTTTACAAGCATGCTATGATGTGATCCAAAAAATATCAAACACAAATATAGTAAAAAAAGGGATAACACTCAATACATAGAAAACCTGATCTCGTTTAAAGGTTAGAAGGTTTCACCTTTTTAGGTTTAAATTAAAAGGTTTTTGCTGAGTGAAAGTAAACCTTATTTTGCTACCTGGGAAGTATATCAATTGTTTAATGTGGACCATCCGACGATGTTAGCTAGTTCATATCACATCCTTGCACGTTACAATACTAGATCCTGATCTCATGTTAGTTGATTTATCCTGCTTTATCTATTGTCTTTTAGCACTAGGCTGACCGCTGATACGAAATTAAGAACTTGACGCCATTCAACATGTTCGCGGAACCGGGAGCAGCTCATGCCTCGAATCCGAATCACTGATGTCAACGAACAAACTCACAGTTTCACAGCCAGCACAGTCTCCCTCCATTTGGATCAACAGAGAACACCACCACCTCTGCGTAAGCATCATATTCCAAATCCAAAAAATACCTTAAGAAAAGCAGCTAGCGCAATAGTTACAATGGTTAAAGGTTTATTTTAACTCAGAAAAAAACTCTTAATGTAAATCTAAAAAGGTCTGTAATACGGTTTACGTGTAAACCTTCTGAGCTTAAAACGAGATCTGAGACATTCAGCTCTATTCTATTCACATTACTCTAATCCAAAACCGTAGAAAACAGCCATCTAAATAAAAACCTTAAATCAAGGTAGGCTTACGGTTTACAAGCGGGAAAAAAAATCTTTTAATAAAGCTAGTCTCAAGGAGAAAATAATCTTAAATCTAGGTTCTTATAAGGTTTCTTTTTGCAAAATCTTGTATGCTCAGCTGAAACCCACCTTGTCATGAAATTTTAATGGACAATGCAATTTGATCCTATCGTTAGTCAACAAAAACATCATGATGGATCCAAGTGACCATTTTACCTAAGTTATAATACTGTTTAAAAAAACTTTAACAAATAATTTCTAATCCTTTTAGGATGAAATGTTTGAAACTGCAATGTCTTTGCGTTATTTGAAAAAAAGGTTTTCAGTACAAACATTTTCCCGAAGAAAATTCCGACACACTGTTGACGTAAGGTTACTTGCTCTCTGGGCATGTCTTATATACTGGTGAATTGGCATTTAATATTTAAAGTGGTAGTTACTCCACAGAATCATAACGCTTACTTCCATCTTTGGTTTGTGTGATAATAGGATCTGACCATGGTCCGAATCCGGCATCCGTCTTAGCCTGGACCTGGATTGTATAGTTTGTGTAAGGAGATAAGTCTTGTATCAGATGGGTCCTGTTCAGAGCTTCTGCATCACCCTCGGTTTTTGAACTCGTCCATTTTATTTTGTAGAAAAGAATGGGACCCACATACGGATAGGGTTCATCCCACGTCAATTCAATACTCGAGTTCGTGAGGCTCGTATTCTGAATTTTGAGAGGATGTGAAGGAACTAGAAAAGGAAGAAAAAAGAAGTAATATAAAAAAAATATAAAGTCAATTACTACTTAGGTTAACAAAGAAAACTTTTATTTTAGTTACTTTTTATCCGTATTTTAAGTCCGAAATGATAAAGAGACACATATTTTATCAAAAGAAATTTTTTTTCATTTTTTACAGCGTAAAAGATTATGTGTACAGTGAGCAAAAAAATAAACGAAACACCCTGAATAATTTTCGATCCAATTATCAGATTTTCTCTTACTTCAAATATGCTCATTATTTAACGCAGATAATATATCAGATTACGAAACCAGACACAAAAACGTACTTTCTCTGAATAAACATACCTTTTTTCTTACGGTTTTGGACCCCAAAACATAGGGGGAAATCGCAATCTGGAAAATATGATCCTAATAATTTGGTTAGGAGAGACTAAAATTTGCACCCCTTAATGTAAATTTTACTCTGTGTACTTCCCTCTAACTGGAAAATTTTTTAAGTAAATTTAAAAAAATTGCACTTAATTTTAAAATTCGTTTATTTAAATATAATTTCATGCAAAAATTTTTCATACTTATTTATTACTTTTCACTATTTTATTTTAAATAGTGGAGAAAATATTTTGAATTGTTTGGTTTACAAATTTTTAGCTCATATGAAGGAATGTAATTTATGAGGCAAAATACGAAATTTGAACAAAACCGTTCGAATAATTCCTGAGAAATCAAATTTTAATTAAACAACTTATTTAAAATTAGATATCTCAGGAACTGTTCGACCATTTTCGCTCAAATTTTGTATTTTTAGACTTTTACATTTTCTAAAATGAAGTAAAACGTGGTATACTTCTCAATTCAAAAATTTTCACTATTTTTAAATAAAGAGATAAAAAATAATAAATAATTACTATAAAATATTTTTTGCATGTAATTATCTGTGGATAAACGAATTTCATAATAGTAAGCGAGAGTTTTTATATTCGCTTAAAAATTTCTCATATTATGACAAAATACACAAAAAGTCAAAATAACATTAAGGGGTCCAAACTCTCGATCAGACTATTGGAATCATTTTTCATAGATTGTGGCTACTTCCTATATTTTGAGGGTCAAAAATCCAAATACGTCAACAAAAAAAGTAGGTATGTTTATTCAGAGAAACAACGTTTTTGTGTCTGGTTTCGTAACTTAAATTGGTTGTTGTCGTCGTAGGTCATTAAGACAAGAGTTGTTTTTTCCACAACTATGACAGATAATTCGACTTCTGCCACACACCCATACGTCACACTCGTTTATAGTGCGAACCCATTCATACATCTATTCATTCATCCGTAGATCGTAATTTTAATCTGAACCAGAGAACGATCAATCTGCAATTCAGTACCCCCCAGAGGTATAATTTGTTATGAGAACATGGAGGACTGAATGTTCCGAAAGATTTAACGTGTACCAGTCACCATTTACTACACGAGGAGTCTTCAGTAGACTGGATTCGAACTGCTATTGCCACGAACGTGAGTCCAGCACCCTGCCAAACAAGCTATCCCAGCTCCGCCTTGCTAATTAACATGAATATTTGAAGTCACTTCATCGCACTACCCTACCGACAATTTTACCTTGGCGTAAGTTGGGTTCAAAACTGACTCGATATGGGTCTTATAAGAACATGCACCGAGGGACCAATATTCGATGTCTAGATTTTTGTTCAAATATTGGTCCTAGGGTGCTGGGCCCATGTCCAAGAGGTCGTGGGTTCGATCCTCGCCGGCCGAAGACTCCCCGTGTAGTAAATGGTGACTGATGCACGTTAAATCTGTCGAGTCTCAAAGTCCTCCATGTTCCCACANATGGGACCAACATACCATAGGGACCAATATTGGGATGTCCAGATTTTTTAATATTGGTCCTAGAATGGCTTATATAGGGCCTACATTGGCCAATATAGAACCTATATTGGCTAAATAATGGATATGAAATATTGGGTGAATGTGATTCTATATAGGACCGATGTTGGTTGTAAAGTGACTGTAAAATATCAGCTGAATCGGATAATTCCATACAGGGCCAATATCGCAAAAGTAAAGAACCTTTGAACCCTTACTGAGCCTAGATTTATGAATATTGGCCCCAGGTTATTTTGGAGCCAGGATATTAAGATTGAGTCGTCGTAGCAAGTGGAAACTCGATCAAAAGTTATTCAGTGTGTATCGTTTACTTTTCCGATCTCTACAATTATTATAAGGTACACTCCGTGGCTAAATTATTAGACGAACTTTAAGGTTCTGTGTAAAATCTTAATTATCAGGTGATTGTTTACGCGAGTTTGCACTTTATTGTTTTTTACGCGAGTTTGCACTTGCTTATGTTCGTGTATCAATGGGTTAAATTAGATGACATATAATATAAAAATTCAGCGATTGGGTAAATTAGACGATATATTACATAAATATAGAATATTTATTATATCAGGTTATTATATTAGTATATTGTCATAATTAGATCCAATTATTAGACGAACTGTAGTTTCTTAATAATGACATGATTTGCACCAGTTTATACGCAGTACTTTTATATTTAGACATACATGTAATGGGTTTTAATTCGGGAGATTTTTTATTTACTTCCTAATTTGTATTTATTTTTAACGTATTTCATTACAATATTAACCAACTGATACACGAATGTAAACAAGTGCAAACAAAACAATAAAGCTGTATAGAGTATCAACTGATAATTAAGTTTTTACATAGAATCTTAGAGTTCGTCTAATCATTTGATAAGATAGTTAATGTGAATCAATCTTACCCCCTGCAGCTGTTGTTTCTGCAATAGTGTCTGACCAATTTCCAAAACCGGCATCATTCCAAGATTTGATTCGGATGTAGTATGTGGTGTACGGTTTGAGATCTTCGATGGTGCATTTAAGTTCTGTAGTGTTCAAAGAATCCCTGTCATTCCACTCTACAGTGTAGAATTGAATTCTTCCAGTCTTTTGAGCGGGTAAGTTCCATTGAAGGGACAAACTTTTTTCAGTCTTGTCTGTGACAGTTATATTTTCAGGCGGGAATGGAGCTATAACAAGTAATAGAACAAAAAAATCAATTCCTACTTAGATCAACAAAGGTGACTCTCAATCTGCTGCGATTTTGATTCTTTTGCTTTGTAGTACTTTGATTTAATACTTTTTGTGTGTTTTTTGTAAATAAAGTAAAGGGCTTGAGACCTTCCAGGCCTAGGGCCCTCGATGGGTGGCTGCGGTCTTCCTGCTGTCGACCCAAATTTGGCTCCGTCTGCAGGAGGGTTTGGCACTGCCGCTCTTCAAGTTTTGGACCAGTCGGGCATCCTTTGCTCTCGATTGTTATGGTGCTCCAATTCTTGCGTGACTCGGGGCCTTGCCCGGTGTCCGCATTTTGCTTGGTCCTCGTGCCGAGCTGGATTTCAAGTCGACGACGAGGCATCTTACATTTGGCGGATGGGCGTATTTGCCTGGGTCGCCGTGACTAAATTCCTTAGATCAACAAATAAATTTTTTATTTTAGTTACTTTTTATTAAGTAATTAAAAAAACCTTCTCCCCTATAAAACTAAAATTAATTATTTAAATTTATTGAATGAATTAATATTTGAAAAAAAAAACTGTATTCGCTATCGCAACGCTTGAGTACTTTCTCTAGCGGAGCCTGAAAATATCAGGCATTTATTTATTAAGTTTTCGTTTAGTTCTATCAGATTCATTGGCGGAGTCAGAAGCCACTTTCTTGGCAGCAAATAAGAGGCTAAATTTCCCTAAGGAAAAGGTAGAAGAACTTTAAAAATCTCTTCAGAAACAGAACGCGCGAAACATTTGAAGGAAAATTTCTCAATAATTTTTAACTTCTATTATCATCAAACTGATTACTTCCAATTTCAGGATCGCATACTGCTACAGATGACTTATTACGTTGAAAATACATTTTTTTGTCTTCAATTCATTACAAATGAGTCAACAAGTGAGCAAGTCAAGTGAAGGGAACATTTCTTACTTTATACCAATGAATAAATGTGATTTCAGAGCAGGCAGAACTGCAATAGTTGTAGAATATTCTTCGTCTTTATAGTGTACATTTTTGCATCAACATAATTCGGAAAACAACAATAAAGAATCATCTGAATTACTTGAAATAGTATCATTTGTGTTGATTATTAAAAAAAATTTTGTCCTTTTCTTGGTAGGTATTTTTTAGTTTTGAAAGAATAATTTCAACTGGAATTCAGCTATTTTGTTTTTAAGCTACATATTAAAATTCATATCGAGATCTTACAACCATAAACTTTTGCTGTGTGGTATATGTTATCTAAAAATAATGAAGGGATAATTCATGTATATATTATTTGAAAATAAAGTTTTCAAACGAAGAAGATTTCATTTGAATTTCTCCGGATTTATAAAGAAAGTAAGTGTTACGATTTTCATAATAAAAAATTTGCTTGTAAAGAATTTTTTTTTCTATTTTGATGATAGTTTTCCACAGAATAGTTTTTTACGTCTGAATAAGAACCATAAGAATAAAAAAAAGAAAAAAAGTTTTAAGTTTTTTATTCCAATATGAAGCATTTTTAGAATCCTTTTTTTATCCTAAGAATTCTTTATTTTACGTTCTTTAGTTTATAATTTTTTAATAGAAATCGTTGTTAAAATACTTTTTTTGGAAAAACTAAATGGTGTCCAACTCCTGGGGAGCAAGCTGTACCAGCTGTGTGAATGCAGCTTTTTCGATCTAAATTCAACTGCAGTTGCTAACAAACGTTCAATTTATTGCTATCAAGGAATTTTTCTTAAGCCTAACGTGGCGGAACAATGCGAATCGTTCTTTATTAAGTACTGCTATGATTATACTCACGCTCTGACAAGGTGGTGATCGACAATGGTTCCGTCCAATTCCCCATGCCAGCCTCGGTGGAGGCACTCATTTGGATGACATATCTTCTTGCAGGCTTCAATCCTTCAATTACAATCCAAGTTTCGTTCGTGGACAGAACATTCGAAGGTTGTATGCTTCTCTTTCTGGAGTATAAAGACCTGACACTGTAAAGAGTTATGTCGCCTCTAGAAGGCTGTGGCTCGTCCCACTCCAGAGATATATTCCGACTTCCCTTCGATTTTTCTCTTACATTTCGGGGAGGGAAAGGAACTAAGAGAAGAAAAATAATAATTTTGATCTCCCAGCACAAAAAAACAACAACCCTGAAACGTTACATTTGTGGCACTTTCAAAATAAAAACAAGAATTATAAAAAATTAAAGTCAATTCCTACTTAAGTCAACCAAGAAATTTTTTATTTTAGTTACTTTTTATTAAATAATTTTAAACAATTTCTCTAAATGTAAGTCTAATCTAAATTAATTAACTAAATTTAATTAATGAATTAATATTTGAAAAAACTGAATTAACATCAAATGTCATCCACTACAAGTTTTAAAAAATGTACTGAATGGCTGAATAAAAAGTATTAAATTAACGATTGAAAATTTGAACAAGATACATAAATATATATATATAAGGAGAGTGTAAATTAATAGTAGGAATTGAAAAAAAAAGGCGCGTGGTATAAAAGTATAAATTGGGTGACGTGAACCACACGTGCTACCACGTCATGTTCTTTATTGAATTTTTCTGACACTGCGAATATAAAATAATTAAATACTTAAAGGTGCACAATATCCTATTTTTTTTTGCTCAAATAGAGCTATAAGTTAGAAATTATCACTGATGTTATCTATAAAATATGTGAAAAACTAAATCGCTGATAGTAAAATTTACAAGTTTAAGAAAATGTATTTGAATTTGAATGGATGAATAAAAAGTATTTTATGAATGATTTAATTTCTGAGCAAGATATATAGAGAGTATGTACTAATAGTAGGAATGTAATTAGATGATACTTTACCTCCTGGTTTTGTCTGAACACGACGGACTACTGACCAGTTTCCTATTCTATTGCCGTCAGAGACACGCACATAGAAGTCGTAATAGGTGAAGGGTGTTAGATTTTCCACTCTAATGGTTGAGAAGTTTGTAGTGACTGTCTCTTGGTTCCATTTTAGAGTGTACAGCAGATCTCCTAGGTCTTCCCAACCGAGAATGACAGTTGTGTTTGTAACATCACGAAGTTCCAGAACAGGAGGATGAAGCGATTCTAAATAAACAAAGTGATCGTGAAATGATAGCCTGCATCTCAACAACTTTAATACATAGGTGAAGAAGTCAAGCTTCCACAGATATAATGTAAACCAATCCCACAAGGTTAGGTGAGGTCACTATGTGTGAAGGAAAGAACAACCTCGCAGATTCTTGAAGCAGATGTGGGCCCTCCTCCCCTTCTCATCAACACCGGAGTAGGGGGGGGGGAGAAGGAAAGTTTTATCTTTTTTTAATCGTCGGTTTGTTCTTTAATGTTACACACTATTGATAAACAATACTGTACTATTAACTGGCGAGCATAACTGACTGCGGGGAGAAATGCAAAAGAAAAATATTAATGAGAGAAAAAAAAGCACTTGCTTGAAAATTCGGTTATTTTAAGAATGATAACAAATGTATGATTTTATTTAATTGCTGCGGAAGAAATATTTCATAGAAAATTATGTTTTACCTCCATTTGTTTTTAAAATTTACAAAAAACCTAGAGCAAAGTTTCAAATGACGAAAAAATATGACGAAATTACTCCCCCACTGTATTATCTTGAGTAATCGGGAAATAATTTGTTATAGAGTGAAAACATTTGTTAATGACGAAATTACTCCCCCACTGCATTATCTTGAGTAATCGGGAAATAATTTGTTACACAGTGAAGACCTTTGTTTATAACAAAATTACTCCGTCATTGCATTATCTTGAGTAATCTGGAAAAAATTTTTTATACTGGAAAAATCTTTGTTTATAACAAAATTACCTCCCACTGCGTAATCTTGAGTAATCGGGAAATAATTTGTTTTGCAGTGAAAACATTTATTCATGACAAAATTACTTCCCACTGCCTAATCGTAAGTAATCAGGAAATAATTTGTTATATAGGGAAAACATTTGTTTATGACAAAATTAGCTCCCACTGCGTTATCTTGAGTAATCGGGAAATATTTGTTATACAGTTAAGACTTTTCTTTATAACGAAATTACCTCCCACTGCATTGTCTTGAGTAATCATGAAATAATTTATTATATGGTGAAAACATTTGCTTATGACAAAATTACTTCCTCAATGCGTAATCTTGAGTAATCGGGAAATAATCTATTATACAGTGAAAACAATTGTTTATGACAACAAAAAATTTCCCAACTGTGTAATCTTGAGTAAGCGGGAAATAATTTATTACACAATGAAAACATTTGTTTATGACAAAAAAAAATTCCCAACTGTGTAATCTTGAGTAATCGGTAAATAATTTATTATACAGCGAAAACAATTGTTTATGAAAAAAAATTCCCAACTTTGTAATCTTGAGTAATCGGGAAATAATTTATCATACAGCGAAAACAATTGTTTATGACAACAACAAAAAAATTCCCAACTGCGTAATCTTGAGTAATCGGGAAATAATTTGTTAAATATTGAAAACATTTGTTTATGACAAAATAGCTACCCCAATGCGTAATTCTGAATAATCGGGAAATAACTTGTTAAATATTGCAAATATTTGTTTATGACAAAATTACTTCCCTAATGCGTAATCTTGAATAATCGGGAAATAATTTATTATATAGTGAAAACACTTGTTTATGAAAGAAAAATGATCCTACTTTTTGTTCTAACGACAATCTGATGTGACGAATCACTCCATTCCTCTTTCCCTCTGGCTGACACCCTTACAGTGTAGTTGGTGTTCGGTTGGAGATCTTCAGCCCGATAGAAGGGGTCGTTGTTATTTTGAGTAAAAATTTCTTCGTTCAGTTGGATTTTGTAAGTTGAAATAATTCCTCCGAAGGGTGAATCCCATTTTAGAAAAAAACTCGACTCTGTCACTTCCTCGGCTTTCACATTTGAAGGAGCTGAAAAGAAACAGAAGATATCACTTTATAATCAAGCTTTTAATTTAAGTGCAGCTTTTCCATTCACCAAGGAAAATAAATAAGCAATATAAAAATTTAAAAAAATTAAAGCCAATTCCTACTTAGGACAACAAAGAAAAATTTTATGTTAGTTACTTTTTATTCAATATTTACAACACGTAACAAAATACATTTTATTTGAAAGTAAAAACATTAATTTTAGTACTTTTAAATATACCAAATTTTAATTTTATCTGTCAGGCCTAATGAAAGGTTCCCTTTGGAGCGTGCCATACCAAGAGAGAATAGTTTTGTCGCAAATTCTCCTTCATTAGTCAATTGAATTTTAAAGTGTAGAAAAAGAGAGTTCAGACAAACCTATGGTATAGGCCGGGATAACCTGGTTGATATAGACACTGGGTCCATGTCCAAGAGTTCGTGGGTTCGATCCCAGACGATAAATGGTGACTGATGCACGATAAATCTATCGAGTCGCAAAGTCCTCCCTGTTCCTATAACGAATCAATCCCTCTGGGGGTACTGATCCAGGAATTCTTGTCTTCTGGATTGGTTCGAAATGACAAGGCTACGGAGTTGAACATTAATAGTCGTAAACCCAAAAATTGGGTCGGCTGTTTAAAGACAAATATAAAATGCAATAAAAAAATTTTAAAAAAACCTATAGTATTTCATGAAGTTTCAAATACTGGAAAAAAAAGTTTAAAATATGCAAATGAAAATAAATTAGGATTGCGCAACGGAGAAGTTCTCTTTTAATAACTTATTTTCATTTGTATATGTTACCGGCAAAGTGTGAAATCCGGCATTCTATAGAATGCCTAGGCATTGTATATAATGCCTAAAACTAGCCGGCAGTGTATGAAACTATTTATATTTCATACATTTCTTAGGCATCCTATAGAATGCCAAATGAGAAACTGGCAAAGTATAAAATACATCTCCAATTTGTCAAAATGTCATTCATAAATGACACATTCAAAACGTCATTCAAGCCTGCCATGTTTGCAACAAGTAGGCTAATTTCTTATTTTTCATATGAAAATTTTGTTTCCCTTTATAAGAAAGGCATAAATTATGTTTTGCACAACTTTTTATTTTTCTTAACACATTTTGAATAAATGTTTTTTAATGGCACTCTCAGTATTTTTTCAGAATAACATTTTTACTTTTGAGAAATGCATGTTACGGTGAATGACCGAAATCTGGAGAATGTCGATTTTCACCGGTGAATGTTGACAATCACATAGTCGCTTTGGGGAATGTCCGAAATATTTATTACATCCGATTTGATATTAATTGTTTCGTGGATATAATTACATTAATTCGATATTTTAATACTTACTGACGATAGATTAGAAGAAACATCAGTGTTTGGAGTATCGGGCAAATATACATCGGCAGTGGCACTTGAACCTAAAAAAACATCAGTGTAGGATATACCGGGCAAATGTATACCGGGCAGTGGCACTTAACTAGACCTAGTATATATTTCGGACATTTACCAAAGGTCTAGTCATACTACTTCTAGTTAATTGCTACTGCCCGGTATACATTTGCCCTGTATATCCTACACTGATGTTTTTTTTTAAGGTTTAGTGCCACTACCCGGTATAACCTTCACTGATATTTTTTTAGGTTCAAGTGCCACTGCCCGGTGTATATTTGCCCGATACTCCAAACACTGATGTTTCTTCTAATCTATCGTCATTAAGTACTTAAATATCGAATAAGTGTAATTATAATCCACGAATAAATTAATATCAAATCGGATATCATAAATATTTCAACGTTCACCGGTGAAAGTCAACAACCACCGATTTCGGTCATTCACAGTAACATGCACATCATTTACATTATAACCTCATCAGGACGTTTTTTTCTCATACTTTGACTAAATAGCATTTGTCATTCTATAGAATGCCTAGGTATTCTATACAATTTCTCGGGAAAGTATGTAATACTTCTCATACCTATTTCATACCTTGCCTAAAAGCATCCGGCATTATATATACAATGCCTAGGCATTCTATAGAATGGCGGCGTTTCATACTTTGCCGGTAACATATATACTAAAATTTTCTTTTCAGTATTTGAAACTTCATGACATACTAGGTTTGCCTGAACTTACTCTTTCTTTTTTTTTAAATTTTAAACTAGTAATGAAGGAGAAAAAGAATTTGCGATGAAAATTTTGTATGGCGTCCTCTTAAGCTGTTCAATATTTTCGACATAAAGAAATATAAATACGAGAACGTTTTTAATTCACAGTTAACGAGATTATAGTTATAAGAGAGTAACTCTTAGTTTAGTTACATATAGGGTTTCATAAATGATTTTTAAAAAAAATATCAGGTATAATTTTTAATCTACCTTATTTCTTATCGTTTTGTTTGTTTCATGAGTGGAATAGTTCAATGTTCTTCTCTTTTTTTCAAAATCGTTTTTGATCATATAAATAAATAAATAAAACAAATGTTGAGTACATAATAGAATTAATCTACATTGCAAGAAATTTTGCTGAATCATCATATTATCGTTCGAATTCACCGTGACCTTAATATGTAGATAAGTTGAACTATATTACAAAATGAAAAAAACACAAAAAAACTGTGCTTTATTCACTTTGTTTTGCTTTCGTCATGCATAGCACAAAGTACTATCGAACTTTTTAAACCTGATGGCATAATATTAATTTTCAATGAACGTTATGATTCAATTTAATAAGATTGTAGCAAATTTACATCGTATTATGTTTCAAAGTAACAATTAACATCGAAATGATTTTCTAAGAATGAACCCGTGTTCACAGCTCAAGTCAAATAATTAATATTAAGGTTCAACATAGAGCTAATTCTTTTAAGAATGAACCCATGTTCACAACTCAACTCAAAGAATTAATATTAAGGTTTAACATCGAACTGATTTTACCAAGAAGGAACCCGTGTTCACAACTAAAATTGTGAACAAGATACAGGACGAGTGTAAAATAATAGTAGGAATTTAATGAAAACAATATATGTATTACCTTCAGGCGGCGTCCATATTATTTTTTCCTTCCAACCTTTCTCAATATTTTCGCACTCTATACTCAAACTCACGTTGTATCCAGTATTGCCACACACGGGAAATGGCGGAGTGATGAATTCACCATTTTTTATTTCTGTATTAGCATCTGTCTTTAGAATGCATTTGGAAATGGTGGTGTCCAAAGATTGAATGCTTATTTTGATTATGGCTCCCTCACTCGCACTTCCTCTCACTACCAAAGTTTTAGGTTTTACTTCATAATTCACACTCCACGAATCTCCACAAGTTTCCTAGAATCAAACAGAATTTTTAAAATTTTTTTTTAAATGTTTGAGTTTACTGTTTAGTGGAATTACATACATTTGCAGGCTGTTGGGCTCAATTTAGGCTTATAAACCTTTTTCAAATAGAAGGTAGTAGTAGTTCATTTATGTCGCACTAGTGCTGCACTATGGAATATTGGAGACGGTCTGGGAAGCATCCCCGAGGATAATCTCAAGACATGCCATCACAATTTTGATCCTCTGCAGAGAACCAATACCGCACACCCTCGGTCCCTACGCAAACTAATTCAAGTGGTCAACCACCAGCACACTGACCGCTGCCAGTGATGCTTGACTTCAGTGATTAGCTAGGAACCGTGTCTTAACGCTCAGTCCACTGCGGAACCACACTACAGAGAAGGACAGCACGAAGATACACCCAGGATTAGGTGATTCGAATCCGCTACCTCCATGGAAGTACGCAAACTCCCACACCCCCTTTTGTTACGCATTATTTAAATAAATGACCCATTAAATAAAATATAAAAATGACTGAAAAATAATGCGTAGTAGCAAAAATTATTTTAACTTTTATTTTTTATGACTCTTCGTCTTGCGTACAAAAAAAAAATAATAATCTTTAGCTGATGAGCAATCCTCTACATCAGATACGGAAACACTTCCCGACTCTCCCATAATTTTTCCTGAATTTTAATTATTCCGCTTTTTAAACCTGTCCAACCAGCCATTCGTGCACATAAAAGTAGTCTCACCCAATCGCTTAGCGACTTCACCGGCTTTGACTTGAAGCATTTGTACAGATACTGGACGATTGCGACTTCTCTGAATGCTGAACCCATTCAATAGCGAAGCAAACAAAAAAAATGCTATTGCTACATTCCATGCTCTACTAAAAACTACTACATGCACTACTTTTATGAAAATCGGTATAAGTATTTACTTTGAAGTAGAAACTTCAAAATTATTACATAAAAATGAAGAAAATAAATCAGTCGAAGACAGAAAACAGTTCATACTATACAACTTCCTCTCTTTTTTTTGGTACACTATATCCACAAAAAATAACATTATACGCGTGTAGCAGGGCACGGGATCAAACATTTCGTTCACTATAAACAGTGTTCACTATAGCGGGGTTTGACTGTATTTGATTTTCAGTGGATGGTTGGTAGAATGTAAGCAATAGCAAGTGTAATGGAACCGGAAGAAGAGGTGTATTCCTCCGCTTATGTTATCCTTATGAGGCGATGTGTGAACAGTTTTAATATTCTAAGAAGTTGATATGATTTGAAATTGACGCGTAATTTTCCCCTTCATAAGAGTTTTAAGACGTTTAAAAGCATTCAAAAGACTGATTTATAAATTCGAACAGGTCGTAAAAATAAAACAAACTAAAGAAAATTGATTGCACAACAAAAATTGTTTTACATTTCATTTTATAACCGTCATTGAACCCAATTTTCTGGGTTTAACGACTACTCATGTTCAACTCATTTTGAACCCAATCCAGAAGACAAGGGAACTCCTGGATGAAATAGTGGAAGAAATTCTGCCTTCGTGGAAGACTTTTTGATGGAACTGACCCGCATTTGAGTTATATGGAGAGGTAGATCACGAGAGCCTCTCACGGTTAGCCTGACTGCTGCAAGGGGACTCTCATCCATGATCTGTCTACCACTGAGAATATTTCACGTCAGCACTGTGGTCGGTGCAAGCCGAATTCGTATCGAGCAGCTATGTCTGGAATTCGAACCCGGTTCCCCTCATTGTAAGGCGAACGCTCTATCCCATGAGCCATCGAGGCTCGAGTGTAAGGTTTGACATAGTGTTATCCCCTTATTTGGCTATATTAGAGTGAAGAAATCACCGTTTGTTTCATGGGTGGATAGCATCATTGCATGCTAACAGAGTCTTCCGAATTCGTTTGTTGTTCGTTTCGTTGAAAATTAAATTGTAAGAACGCGTTATAAAGCAAACACTATACGATTGTAATAATATTGGATGGCGTGTTTTTCAAGCATAGGAGTAAAAATCTATCGAAAGTAGTAACCCGGAAGTCCTTCGACGAATTTTAACCCCTAGAGCCATCTGTGTTTAGCCTTGCACTGTCAACCATCCATAGTACGGGACCACACTATTCACGTGACATTCGTAAAAATACTGAAAATAAAACTCAAAATTTAATGTTCACTCAAAACTACAACTTTAGATTGCTTGATTGATTAAATATGGAATTTAATGGTAATATTTGGTATAAGCAATCAGTTTACAGAACCAGATAAACTATTCGTGTGAATTACATTAAAACTGAATTCACGTGAAAGCCTTAAGATGGCTCGATATTGTTTGACATGAAGAAAAAAATAGAGTAAAATTTAGGAATAGAGAATATGTAATACCATAAAAAGTAATAAAAGAATATAATTTTATTTGCTTACAATCTATAACGATAACCTCGCATTGCACAATGGTTTAAATTGGAAACGGATTTTATCTCAGTTGAGACTTATTTAATTTTGTTTTGTAGAAACATTTTGATAGAAACGTTATGATTTATATATGAATTTTTTTGATTTATTAATTCATTCTTTTCTTAGATTTAATATCAAGCGTGAGCTAATAAAATATGTATCTTAAGAGAAAACAAAAAAATCAACAACAAAAAATTACGAGAAAAACTCTTAAAATTGAATTAATTTTCAAATAATTTGGAATTTTAAAAAATCTCCCACGAATAGGAAGCCATACCGGGGAAGAAAATTTTAATCGCAAATTCTCTTTCTCCTTCATTACCAATTTGAAATTTGAAGTGTAAAAAAAGCGAGTTCAGACAAACCTAAAATAAGCCATGAAGTTTCAAATACTGAAAAGAAAAATTTTAAAATATACAAATGAAAATAAATGATTAATTCATTTGCATTTTAATATTTTGAAGTATTTTTTCAGCGATTGAAACTTCATAACTTATTCAAGGTTTGCCTGAACTTTCTTTTAAATTTAAAATTAGTTATGAAGGAGAAAGAGAATTTTCGATGAAACTTTTTCTCCGCGCTCTTAAGATTATAACTCAAAATGGTTCTTTCAGTAGTCATATTTCAATTCCGTAGTTGCATTTCATCGGGCAATAGATCGTCCAATACGTTTTTTTATCACAAGTTTAACAGTTGATAATTCCAGAAATAATACTCCGACTTTAAATTTTTTTTTGAACTCTCTGTACAGTGCGAAAAAAATGAACCACCTTGAATAACGTTTGATCTAATGATCTGATTTTAACGTACAAACTCAGTCTTAATGGTTTGAGGTTGTCACCTTAAATATGCTCATCCGGGATGGCTCAGGGGATACAGCGTTCGCCTTCTAAAGAGGTGAACCGGGTTCGAATCCCGGCGATGGCTGGTCTATACGAATTCCGCATCCAGCTTGCACTGACCATAGTGCTGACGTGAAATATCCTCAGTGGTTGATGGATAATGGATTAGAGTCCCCTGCCATCAGACTAACCATGGGAGGTTCTCGTGGTCTTCCTCTCCATGTAACACAAATGCGTGTTAGTTCCATCAAAAAGTCCTCCAGGAATCTATTCCAATACTTGATCGAAGAGTTCCCTCGTCTTCTGGATTGGGTTCAAAATGACAAGGCTACAGAAGTTGAACATTAGTAGTCGTAAATCCAAAAAAATCGGGTCGGCTGTTCAACGACGGTTACAAAATATATATACTACTTAATTTGTGTAGATAATATTTTAAGTTACGAAATCAGACACAAAAACGTACTCTAGAAAAAATGAAATTTTTTGCGATGAGTTACCCCTCAAAATATAGGTTTCCCCTCAAAATATAGGTTTCCCCTCAAAATATAGGTTAATCTGGGAAAGCTGCAATCTGGAAAATACGGTTCCAATAGTTTGGTCTGGACAACGCACCAAAATTTGGAACCCTAAATGCTTTGTTTATTTCTTACTGCCTCCCCAGAAAGTTTTAAGCTAATTGAAAAAAATTTACACTCAATTGTAGAATTCTTTTATTCAAAGACAATTCCAATCAAAGAAGAAGAAAAAAATTCATAATTAATTATTATTTTATTCGATGATGGTTGAAGCATTTTTGAATAGCAAGGTAAAAAAATTTTTACATCGCTTTAAAAAATTTAAATTTAAATGGCGCAATATAAAATTGAAGCGAAATCCGTCGAATAGTTCCTGAGAAATCATGTTTGAAATATGCGACTTCTTTTTAATTCAACAGATATACTATTCAACCGATTTCCAAATTTTTTATAGTCTAGTTTCATACATAGTAACATATAGGGCTACATTGTGGGGCCCCTATTAGGCATATAATTATTTCCTCTGATAGGGTACACTAGGGTCCGGTTACGTTAACAATTCAAAATTGTTGAACTAATTATCAAGTTTAATTTTTTTAATTCCATCACAACTCCTTTTTATTATTTTTCTACTCACCTTAAGCTTCCAAGTCTAGTAAAAAATGTAATAAAACAATACATAACATTAAATTAAATACGCAGAACAACAGCGGCCCTTACAGTTTTTTAATGTAAAGAGAAAATTGCAGAAAAATGTTTCATATTAACTACATATAACTATTCATATTAACAATAAAGGTTCTTCAAAACTCTACAAAATAGGAAACTAAGACTTAGTGTTTTGTGAATAACAGCCTGCTAACAACTTTTCCCGTAAAACCTAAGTAAAATTTAGCCTCTTATTGATTAAAAAAAATATAAAACAAACTACCACGCAGCTAAATCAGTTGACATAATTAAACGAGGTTTTCATTTAAGTACACAATCTGTTGACAAATTTAGTAACTCCTTTTGAAATTTGATGAAAAATTAATAACTCTTTTTCAGAGCAGAACAGTCTGTCTCTCCCCGTATTTGATACTTCTTTTTCTTTTAAATACAATAACCTACCTTTAACAAACAATAGATTGGATTGAATTGCGATCTATCTCAATTTGATTGCGTATAAAATGCTACAC